CAAAAGCCAGGCCTTCTGATGTTCCCCTCTCTTCCTTGTTGGATCCCCGTACCACCAATCAAATGCACACGTTGAATTTTTGGTTTGCTGTACCAAGGATAACTTCCCTAAATTTTTAAATTTGTAGAATGGAGACAATAAGTCGCTGCCAAAGTAATGCAGATTTTAAAATAGTTAGAAAAACCACAAAAATGTCTAATCAATTACAGATCCCAATATCATTTTGGTAAAAAAAAAAAAAAAAAAAAAAAAACAACTTTAGGAGTTCCTAGGTTAGAGCAGAATAAAAACACCTCATGACCCCCTCACCATTACATGAACTCTAGAAATTCCAACTAGTAAAACACAAAGAGAGGAAATGTTGTCCAAACCTATTATGCCAAAACTGGAGGTCATTCAAATCTCACAGTGGACCTTTCTTGTTAAAATTACCTTTTTTAAAAGTCGAAAAAAAMTTCACTCTGATGAAAAACTTATTAACCTAAAGTGTAAGCTCTGTAAAGTTTGAATTTTCATTACCTGGACTTCTTAGACCCTGTCAGCAGCCTGTATCAACTAAATAATCTCATGGACTTGCGCTTAAAGAGATGTCTCCATCACTTAATATTTCTTCTGAGTCCTTTAAGGGCATTGGCGTGTAAAGAAAAATGAAAAAAAAAATGCCACCTTAGTGGACAGAAAAGGGATTTGATGAGAATTTAATACTTCCAGAGAAGTCTTACAAAAAGGAACAGGGAAGACTCAGGAACCTAGTCTGGTTTCCGCTCCACCTTCTTGTCAAGCTAGTCATTTATACCTACAAAGGCTTTTAAAAAATAAAAATAGTCCACCATTTCTGCAAGAACACTCGAAGAGGAAAAAATTCTCTGACCAATTACTCCCATCATTAGGGAAATCCATCTCCCCAGGGGTTGTGTGTTTGAGGATCAAGGTGCCAGTATTCCAACTGGAAATGGGAAATCTTCAGTTCTCATCTCAGCAGGTCTTGGCTAGCACTTATGGAGTGGCACACATCAAAACAGGGTAACAGGGTGCTTGACAGCTCCTTTCCCTAGGATGGGGGCTGCTGAGACCACCTGCCTCTGGGCAGTGTTTTACACTCGCTCAGGAATGGGTCCTTTAGGGCCTGGAGTCTTAGGGTCCGCAGGCATTTCTCCAGCCCCCCCAGCAGGCAGGCGGCTTGGTCCCAGCAAATGGGCTAAGATAAAGATCTGAGACGGTATTTATTTATGGCAGGGAGGAAGCAGTGTGTGTGCAAATTTAATGCTTAGTAGGGAAAAAGTAGCAGATCTCCTATCTCAAAAGAGAGCCTGGCCAACAATTCCTTCTGACCACCAAGGTCTCTTCCCTCTCCCTCCTCCTCCCCCTTACCCGCTCAGTCTCTCTCCTTACCCCCAAMCGCCTCCCCAGGAAATGAGGCCGAATTTCTGAGCCTGTTTACGCTTTTCCTCCGACCTGGTGGAAACTGGATCCATTCACTCCGTGCAGACACGCCAATCGGTCCCCCCAAGTYCCCTGGCTATCGTGCAAGGGAAGAMGGGTGGGGGAGAGTGGTGGGTTGCGGTGATGGTTCCGGATCCAAGCGATGCGGGCCCTCGTCGAAAACGGTTTCCCACCACTCGGCTCCGGATCCGCCGCGGCTGCGCGGCAGAAGCCCTCCGAATGCGGCGCGGGGGGCGGCGCGCGGGCCGGGGAGTCCAAACCTTCACCCTGCGCGGCGAGATACAGGCAGGCGAAGCAAGGGGGCGCAGGGATGGGCGAGAAGTCCGAGGACCGCACGACGGGGCAGGGAACGTCGTTTGGCCTTCCCGGAATGCCACCCAACTCTAGAAACCCACAGATCCCGAAAATTCTGAAAGCGAAACTGCGAGCAGATCCCAGAAGTTTGGGAATGGTCTCCCAGGCTTCCTGGCGTCGTCTCTGGACTGCTGGACACTGAAAACGCAATCAAGGACGAGCACCAGTGGCAGTGGCCATCGCTCCGCACGGCGACCATTCACGTCCCCTAGTATTTTTTATCCCTAAAAGTCTCCAGCCCCAACTGATGGAGCACCACAAACCCCCTTGGTGCTGGGGCGGTGGTCGGCTGGGCTCCTGCAGCTTCTCAGTTCCTCCCTCCTCCCGCTCCTACCCACAAAAAAAGAAAACTTGGGCCCTTCGAGAATCCTGTGGAATGTTCTTTGTAATCGACTGTATACTCGCGTCCACCGCACGGCCCGGTGCAAAATCGTGGGTTTCGGGAGTTGGAGTGGATTGTGCCCTTGTCAGCGGCGACGTCAGGAGGACGAGGGGAGGGGTACGCAGCTGAAACTGCAGTTTACCAGGCAGAGCCATTTTTGTATGGTCTCCACCTCAGCGGAGCCCACGGAAGAGCTTGTCCCCGGGAGGACGCGCCAAAGCGCAGGCTGGAAGGGCCGGGGACGCGCCGCGCGCTCCGTCCCCGGGTGGGGGTAAGGGGGGTGCGTCTGGGTTCGCGCGTCGCCAATCGCTCAGCCTCACCGCCCAGGTGGGAGGGAAAACCTGCCTTGGGGTCTCCAATCCCCGTGCTGATTGCCCCTACCCGCCACCTCCCCTATACCGCTAGGGAACCAGACCCATCGACTCCCCAGCGTCCATCTAAGTGACCCTGTAGCGCACCCCCTCCTTGTGGGCCCCTTTAAATGCCCKGAGACCATGTTGCTGCGGTAACTGTAGACCTAGCCAACACTATCCTTTTAACCATATCATTTAAAAACGTCTCCCAGCTCTTGGCCACTGCACGATCGGAAGACGGTTCCCTGGACCTGCCCTCGCCTAGCTCTGGAGAAATCGTGCGACCACMGCGTGGCTCCCGCCCCCCTTCCCGGGTCTTTTCCGTTGGCACTGCCGCGCGTCCAGCGCACGGCCGCTGCGTCCTGGACACGGGCGACCCCTGTCGGGGACCTCTGTTCCTAACTAAAACGACGTTCCCGCATTCCGGGTGACTCTACTCCGAGCTCGTGCTAGCGTTCCTTAAGACTTCCCGAACTGGCTCTGGTTTTGTGTCCAAACTGCATTCCCAGATCCTCCCAGGCCCAGTAAGAGGGCTTTTCCAGAGCACTTCGCAGCCTATTTACACCCCAAGGATAAAGCCTTGCCCACGCTCCCGCCAGTACTGGAGGCGCCCCTCTTGGCTTGCCTTCGGTGCCCAACCTGAGCAAGGGACGATTTCCTCCCAGAACGCCGTCCCTCACCCCCCACGTTCCCTAAAGCGCCAAACCCAAAACTCAACARGGCAAACCCTCACACTGACCCTAAAACGCCTTTCGGCTGAGGTCCGCGTGCCCCCACCCAAGTACTCCTGCACTTTCGTCCTCCGCACACCCGCAAWGGTCCTTAACTTCCCACCCGAGCGCGAAGCAAAGGGAAGCAAGAGCCCACCACTAAATGCAGCCCACACAAAATCCCACTGACGTCTGCAGTCCCACTGCACCCAATACTCTGGACAGTCCTTTTAATAAGCACCTCCTTGCTCCATCTAATCGAGGGTTTACTCGCACAGGAGCACAGGATCCAGCACACWGAGGGAGAGAGCGAGCTTGTCTCCTAGAAAGCCAAAATAAATCATTCAGTCTGCCCTCATGTATTTTGCACCACGTGTCAGCAGTTTGTCACGTCAAATCGTGGCAGGGTCTGGTTCCGCGACGCACAAACATACATTTAGGGTGGATCTCTGTAACACCTCCCCCAGGCAACTGCACCTACAAGGTGTGTACACTAATCCACAGACACCCATGGCAGTTGCGCTTGGATGCCCTCGTCCCGGCCAGAGGCACCCCTCCACCCTTTACCCTCTAGCAATGGACTTGACACACAGACTCTAACCACGGAAAAAACTGGGGCAACTCGTTCCCTTTCTTTTTTCCCACTTAATTCGCTAAAGCGGATCCTGGGGTAACCAAAGAGAGTCGAAATTCAGGCGTGGCCACTTCAGTTGGGTTTTTTCCCACCTCAAAACCTTTATTTTCAGTTTTTAAAAGCCACCTTAGCCCGCCATATTGAAACCGGCACCGTGTCTAAAGACTCCTTCCCCGCTGTTGCTGCGCTTCCAAGAAACACAAGTACAAATGGGGCTCTGGGGGTGCATCTGGCCACCCGGATCAACCTCTTCCCACCCCAAAGAATCTCCCTCCCCTGGCTAATCCCCTTCCACCGCTTCGGGTCGAAATCAATAAATATATCTAGCAGTTCGTACAGTTGCTTTTTGGAGAATTTGAGCAAGACATATGCATATTTAAAAATAAACTCCAGAGCCTGATTGGGTAGTAATTTTGAGAAGAGGTCTAATAAGAGTAGACAACAGGAAAACCCCAAGTGACATGATATTACTTTAAGGGGGGGGAATTGAACAAAAAGATCATCCTCGCTGGAGCACGCTCCGAAACTACTACTGACAATTTCATTTCAGTGACACAGGCAAATGCGATTCCAAATGTCTGAACGATGTTTTTCCCCTTTGCTTATCTCCAGTCTCCCCTCCCCACCACCTCCTTTCTCCCCACCTCCCCAAACCTCCAAACACACACCAAAAGGGGTCTCGTGTGCGGAAGAGACTCGGGAGCGCAGGGTAGTAGCAGAGACTGCTTCGTCGCTAAAATGAGTGCACAAACGAGAAGGGTGGGTGGCGGGAGGGGACAGGCTGCACTCGGAGGAAGGAGGACACTTTGCAACTCTGGACCGACTCCCGCACGGCCGGGCTTTTCAGAGCCCAGGAGTCTCGGGGGAAGGCGACAGAGGAAGCAAAAAATGACAAACCTGAGCGCAGAGAGGAGTTTGAGGCTTCGCTCAAGTGCTGTCGCTTTCTTCTCCAGCCCTTCTCTTTGGCTGTTTTTCTCCTTCCTCCCCCAACACCCACCAGACTTGCTTAGTCTTCCCTTTTTTTCACCCCGCGAAGCTAGCAAAAAGACGCTGACCGGCGCACTCAACCTGCGGGCCGGAGGTCTGATCGCGGGCCGAGGACAGTAGCTGGAGCCGCGTCCTACCTGATGAAGTTTGTTCCGCCCTCGGCGGGGACCCTGGCCCCGGAAGTCTCCGGAAAAGGCGCCGGCCTCGCTCGCTCGCCCGCCCTCGCCTCCCTGGTTCACTCGCTCCCTGCCCGCCGCCTCCCTCGCGCGCCGGCTCGGGTCCCTCCAGCTCCCACTACAGCCTCATTCCAATATGGCATCCTCTCTGTGCGCATGCCCGGCACTCTTTTTTAAGATTTTTTTTTTTTTTTTCTGTGCAGTGAACTCCTTCAACGACCTTTTCCAGCGCTTGCAAAATGTCTTAAGCCAATTAGCCTGCAATTTGTGATCAACTCCTTCCTCTGCCCCCGTCGCKACGTGCCCTCCGCTCTTAAGTACACAGACACCCTCCCACGCCAGCACAATTCACGCCACGCGGCTCCCTCCAGCCCTCTCCCCTCCCTCCTTTCCTTTAGCTCCCTCCATACACGATCTGTAGAAAGTTCACATTGATAGCATTTCCGCACACCCATTTGCAGCGACAACTGTACAAACTCCACATTTCCTTGTCCGTTGTTTTGTTTTCTGGGTTTGCGATCCCTCTGTGGACCAAGTGCACAAACTTGCGCTTTATCCGCCCGAGATCGTTCAAAGTGGGGAGAAATGCAATCCCAAGAACCACTCGGCCCCGCCCGCTCCACCCTATCCTGCTATTAAATCGAGACTTTCTATAGGGATTTTAATGTTTCCTGACTTTTGGCGGAGGACAGGAGAGGACTGGGAGAGGTTTTCTAAGGGAACTTGCCCCAAGGGCCAGGAAATTAAGTTGGGGCTGTCCGAGAGATCTGCCTGGAGGGACGCTGGTAAAAGGGATCACCACGCGTCTTGTGGGGCACCTGGTCAGGACTGGTTCTCAACGGATGGGGGGGGGGGGGGTGGCAAGAATCCCTGCCCGAGCCCGAGGTGRGGGAGGGGGAGAGTGGCCCTCGGCCATCGTCTGGAGTGCAGCCCGGTGTTGAGCTGAACGTCTGCGGGACTCGTGGACATTTTGTTCGGTACATGGTAGGAGAACATTGAGGAGCTCCCCAGGCCTTGGGCACAATAGATGGGCAAAGTCAGAACGAAATGTCCCCATGCGGAAAAGCTGGCAACACCCTGGTAGGCAAGACCGACAGTTTAGGACGAGGGCATGCCTTAACTGGGGGGCAGCTGGTAGATGCTGGTGTGGGGCTGGATTATATTCTCCTAGAAAATAGAGAACGGACACTTTTGCTCTGTAAAATTCCCCACTCTCCGAATTCCTAGTCCAACTATATCTCTAGAACTCCTCTCGCTGTAAAATCCSGCCCCTCCCCCAAACCAGAGAGTCTCCAAGGCACCCATAGATTTTCCTGCCTTTCCTAGCTCTGCCAACCCACTACGGTCCTGGGCCACCTCACCGTGGTCCCCTAAGAAGAGGTGGACTATCCAAAAGGCTGGAGATGGCCGGTGGAGTAAGGGAAACAGGGACTGATGGCTCAGTACCGGTCCCAAGTAAGTGCTCTCTCCGATGGCTGGACCTGAGCTGATCTAAAAGAACAACGGAGAGATGTGCCCAGAAATTACTCTCAACACTCTGCGACCCACCGGAGGACACTGCCAACAAAAAGATTGGAGGAACGGGGAGATCCAGGGCGGGCGGTAGCAGCCACGAGGGCCCACTCACCACCAATCTAGAGAAATCCCATCTCCTTACTTCTTAGAGAACTCTTTGTGACGTCTAAAGCGCCTTCCCTCCGCCTGTCACTCCTCCTTTTGACACAAGAGCCGCCTGAGACCTAAAAGAGAGCCACTAGGTTAAGGTTGCGTGCTGCGCGGCACAATTTAAACACCAACATTACTCCACCACCTCTGCAGCTTCCCACCGTCCAACTCTTTCTTGGAGACACCAAATCATATCCCTGAGCACTAGGCGCCTGAAGTTACCAAAGGCAAAGACTCCTCAAATCAACCGTCCCCGGTTCCTGCACATGAATCTTCCCACCTGCACCCCGGGAACAGCCTCCTTCAGAATCCCGAGGTGGTTCCGGTGGACCCTGATGTGAGCAACTTAAGAATCCACAGTGTAAGCTCCAGACACTCTACGGGACTCTAAACCCTGGCCAGGTCTCAGACACCMGTCATCTCTTCTCGTTTCTTCCACTCAGGAGGGAGAGAAGGGGGCGGGGAAGGGACAGTGTCATCCCTCAAGGACATACAGCATGGAAATCCCAGCCTGCAAACCAGCCTTGGAGACTCGTGTCACCRCCTTGTGCACAGCCCAAGCGCAAGGCGCGCCGCGGTAGTAATGGCCCCGAGCGCAGATCCTCTGCTCCAACTCCCTGGAGCTCAGGCTTGGGGCGGTCTGAGAGCGTCGCGAAGCTCCACTCCAGCAAGGGTCCCAGACCACGGGCCTCGCTTCTGGCCCAAGGGCTGGATTCCTAGAGGGCTCCTGTTCGGAGGGAGATCGAGTTTATCCTCTCCAYGAGCTGTGCGATTAGAGCTGCAACCAGCCATTGCGCGGTCTCCAGTCTTGTTTACCAGTTTTAAGTCATTGTTATGCACGGAACGTTATTTCATCAAAATAGACACAAATGCAGAACACCTGATCCCAAACTCAATGACTGTATAAACATTATTCTACCTGATTGCTTCAATGTAGTTGAGTAGTCTCTTTATACAGTTAGCACTCAGACCCCCGGAAAACTTTTCCTGTGGGTCTAGAAAATGTGGTGGAGGACGTTTGTTTATTTATTTTGACCTATCATGATTAAGAAATAAAATCTTGGAGCCACAGACACAATAGTTGTAGTGTCATCATAAAGCATATTTTGAACCGTCTCAGAGTTCACTTCCCATCTACTTTTTCATTGCGTTTTTTGCACGTGACTTTTTGAAGATTCCTTGGCTTTATGTTTTTCGACCTCCCTCCAATCTCCTTTATCCAAGGACACCAATGAGGCAAATGAAAGTTGGTTAGTAGATTCTCTGAGGCAATTAAAATGGCCCCTTCATCCCACTCCAATACTTTCTAACTTTTATTTTTATTTTAGAACCAGACACTTTAGGGACATATATAACCAGATGTGGGATCCACCTTTAATCTATTAAAAAACAAAAAAAAATCTACCATAGTCAAACAACAATAGAGCACTGGTAAAAACTGAATATTTTTGCAAAGTAAAGAATGCATAGGACACTCCAACTCAGAGGAGGTTAACCTTGTAAATCTCCTGATTAACATGAGATTTCTCTAGGTGTAGTTAACATTTGCTAAAAATATTTCCYTAAATAAGTCTTTGATCACACCAACTAATTATAAATATGATTACATTCCTAAATTGTGGTTAGATCCTGAATTTTATCACTTTCAAAATGCAGCTATAGATCTAATTTATGCCTTCAAAGGAACTTTATAATTCTTTTATATAAGTGAGACTAAATTATACAAAATATTGAAGTCATTTTGTTAATTGTCAAATATTTAGGTACTATTCCACTTGTTYGGTGATACACCATAAAATAGGAAATTAGCAGTTGAAAAGTTTCTCATAATTTGTGTATTCCCAAGTATTAGATTATAAAAACTTGCAGAAAACTTGAAGAAGTATATGTGTACTATTTATTTTATTTATATGAAAAATATGTGATTAGTTAAACCTTGTTGCATTATCTTTATGCTAAGAAAAAAAGGTTGTTCATGTGTTCATACACAGTCCATGTTTAAGTCATCACTTCCAACCAAGAAAAGCAAATTTCCTAAAAAAAAGATGAATCAGTGTAAAAGACTTGAATATAAAGACTCTCTACTGAGGTATTAGACATAGTAGCTTCACACAAAAGCAGGAAAGGGGGAAGGTCAAAAACAAATATTTGAAGAATTTGTGTAATCTTCTCTTTACTGGAGGCTTTAAACCAAAACTTGTTTTCTCTTAGTCTACATAAGATAGTATTTTTCTAAGGTCACTAAAAGTAATCTAAGCATACACATCTCTGTTATTTTTTTACCCTTTTTCCTTATCCCCTCTCCCCAAAGTCTTTGGCCAATGTAGGGGACTCCAATGACCTCTGTCACTTCTTCATCAGTAATGCCTGTGGTTTCTCTGACCTATTCCCCCCCACACCATGGGTGAAAGGGGGAATTGGACTAGATGTTCTACAAAGTCTTTTAAGATCCTAAAGGATGCTTAGCAATCTGCTCACTGAAGTCACAAATTACTTTCTATAATATTCTAACACTAACTCTGCCAATTCAATATAGCAAAAATGTAAACTCTGGGGTCACAGAGAGCAAAATAAAATCAAGTAAACAAATCTATAGAAAAAGGATGTTAGGGACTTCTTTACCCCACTGTCTGGCAGTGAAGATGTTGCTCAGGTTATATTTGTCCCTCATTTAGGTTACTGTTATGTCTTTGCATTTAATGTATGTCTTTTGAGTTGCCCATAAAAGTGTCTGGAGCTGAGTTGAAAATACCTGTGAGAGTCATTCTGAAAAAAACCTGAGGGAAAGATGGCTTGTTGATATGATTTCAAAGGTCTTAATGAGCCAGACAAGCTGATGCATGCCTATAATTCTAGCAACTCAGAGGCTGAGGCAAAGGATCACAAGTTCAAGGCCAGCCTAGGCAGTTTAGTGAGACCCTTAGTGACTTAGCAAAACACTGTCTCAAAATAGAAAACACAAAGGACTGGAGATGCAGCTCAGTGGTAAAGCACCCTTGGGCCCAATTCTAAGTACCCAAAGAAAAATCATAGTTCTTAATGAGTGTGCTATACTCATGTCTTGTAGTCCAAAAAAAAAGAGAGATTTCTCATATGTTTCTAGAAATTTCAGAAATTCCCTATTGCTATTACTTCTCATAAGATTTGAAGGTGTTTTGGCTTTCCTTGGCAATAATGGGGAAAAAAACAGCATAAAGGGCRTATTAAAAATGCATCATATCAACTCTTCTAGGACATTTATTCAAAGATGGTTTATTACAGATGCACCAGTTTTGACTAATGGCTTCTTTCTATACTAAGGAAGAACAAATGTCCTGACAAAAAGCACTCCCAACTTCTGTGGCTGCTGGCATGTGCATATGGGTG